CCACCATATTACAAATCATGAGAAAAAAATAACATTAAACACTAATAAATAATCAAAGTATTAACATAGGCCAGGAAAGCCTGGTTGGTAGGACGCTGGGTTCGTATTCGTGAGAACGTGAGTTCGAATCCAGATGGCAGAAGAATTCCCATGTAATAAATGGTGACTGGCGTATGTTAAATCTATCGGGGTCACAAAGTCCTCCATATTAAGTTCCCATAACAAATCAATACCTCAGGGAATACTGAATTGGAGATTGATCGTTCACTACTTCAGGTCAAAATTACGATTTTCTGATGAATGGAGTATGATTGGCACCTCCCTGTAAAACGGGCTGTGACGTGTGAGTGGCTTAAGTGATATTCTTGGCATTGGTATGTTAATTATTGTTGAGTTGAATGTAAAGCTTAGTAGTACAAGATCCAATGGTGGATATTTAATTAATTAGCGTATTCAAGGATAGACGTTAAAATCATTAAGATTGAGTTCTAGTTTGTTGTCCAAACACTAAATTGTGAAATCAAATCATTAGATCAATAGTTACTCTAGGTATTCGCTTTTCTGCTTTGTACATAATTTTACTTTGTTTCATAAAATTTACGATTTAAACTGGAGAACATAGGGATTACAGTGAAAAAAGTTATTGCTCTAGAACCAGGCATTAATGTAATAAACAAGAACGTTGCCCAGTCTGTTTACCTTTTTTCTCTAACTACATACCAAGTATAAAAATATTACCAGTAAATTAAATTAAATGTTCAGGAATATTAGTTTTAAAATGAATTCTTAATACTTTATATACTAAAAAGTTTTAATTAGCAAAATTACATTAGTGCGTGTTATAAATAGAAGAGCTTTTATTAAAAAAATATAAAATTCAATTTTATAAAAAAATACAATTTTCTTATAAAATATAAAAGATACTGAATCAAGAATAATTAAAAAAATATATATTTTATAAAGAAAATGATTTCTATGGACTTGGCCAATGGGTTGGTTGCTCTGCACTAAAAACTAAAATTAGTAATTTTTTTTCCGGGTAAGAAGAAGTTGACAAAGAAGAAAACTGTTAGTGGGAATAATTGATCAGGTGCAATTTCATCCTGTAATCCTCTTAAAAAAATCTTTAGTCGGAAAGATAATAAAGATTGCGAGGGCATTCATGAAAACACTTAGAAAATGGTCAGTATTTTTTTTAATGATGAGGAGAATACTACTTTCAATCCAGGTATTAAAATTTTTTTTAAAAAAGACGGCTTAACACTATAGTAAAAGAGCTACATAATATACGAAAAATTAGGAAACTCTGCCAGTGGCTAGTGACCAATTGTGGCATTTTTAGCAATGGCCATTTTTAAAAAAAATTTTAAATTTTAAACAAATAAAAAAACTTCTCAAAAATGTGTTTTAGATTAACATGGTTCATTTCTAAAATGACGAAAAATAGAAAAGCAAGCTTGAAATAAAGTGATCTAGTTAACTAATTTGTAATTCTGGAGCAATAGCCAAAAATAACTATAAAGGACCCTTTACTTTGGTATTGATTACAGGTTTTCAGATTTTATTAATCAAGACTCTTGGTTTATTTTACAATTATTTTATGTCTGTACTAAATCAAAATAATAAAATCCAATGCCAGTAAAATAAAATCCAATGTCCTTCAAGAAAAAGAAAAGATTATCTTGAGATTTATTACCCATGATGAAAGAATGCCCCTCGTGTGCCTCTAGGGTCATAAAATGACTTTCAGAATATATTAAAATACTCATAATTCCTTACCAAATTAAAGAACAATGCTAAAATATACATGGGGTGCATTTTTGGCGAAAAATGGGGCTTCCGACAGGCGATTGACAGACAATTTTACGATCACCATTTATTATTATAGTACTTAGCTGCCCTATGATCGGTGGTAACCGCTAAATTTGCCTAATACCACATAAGCGGTTCAAAACAAAGAACCCTTGTGAACGTATGTGTAACTCTTATTTTTGAAAATTGCGTCCTTTTGAGCCTTGATGGCTGAGGAGATAGAGCGTTTGCCTTCCAATAAGGTGAATCGGGTTAGAATCCCAGCGATGGCTGGTCCATACGAATTCCGCATCAGACTTACACAGTGCTGACGTAAAATATCCTCATTGGTAGACGGATCTTGAGTTCCCCTTGCCGTCAAACTAACAGTGGGAGGTCTTCCTCTCCATGTAACGCAAATGCGGATTAGTTCCATCAAAAAGTCTACCACGAAGGCAAATTTCTCCCAATACTTGATCTAGGAGTTCCCTTGTCTTCTGGATTAGGTTCAAAATTACAAGGTTACGGAGTTGAACATTGCTAGACGTAAACCCGAAAAATTGGGTTAGCTGTTCAACGACGGTTATAAAACAAAATTGCGTCCTTTATGGGGTGTTAAACCTACACTTGAAAGTAGAGACGCTCTTAAAAAATTTAATGCACTTATGGTTACACAGTGCCTGCGAGCTACATTTAAATAAATGTAGTTCGCAAAAAACAGAAGAACTAATAAAAACTTGGGGCTGTAAAAAATAAATAAATAATAATGTGGCCTTCCGATTGACAAACGCTGAAAGAATTATTACTTACAGGGATTTCATTAATGATTATAAGCAATAAAAAAAGTATAAAGTAATAAGCACCATTAAGAGAGCTGTTGATGAACTGGGAAATAAGATAATGACTCACATTACAAACGCCAACAAATTTACATAAGAAAATCTGACTTTCTGAAAATCTGACTGAAAAAATTATGCATTAAATTGCACCAGTTAAGTACAATCTATGATAGTGTCTCCCAGAGCCCACTAGTATCAGCTTCCAGGTTACTAATTTTAATTTTTCTGAAATTATATAAATATGCTGTGTCTTCGCTTTGAAATAAATATACTTTTTTATTAGATATTTCAAGTAGTTTTTTACTGTTTTAAAACTAAACACAACTAATATTAACGCAACTAATTTTGTTCTTGGTGACTGAAATTTTAGCACCCAATATTTAGACACTTAGCATTGTTAAAGTGAGCTCTTTATTTTTTTCCCCCTTGTTAAGTGTCTTCTAAAGAATAAGCATTGATTTTTTTTTTTTAGATATTTTCAAACAGTTTTAGTTTTAAAGAGTTTGACAATGTCTAGTTTTTAGTGAATCCATCCATATAGTAGTAATTCAGGGGGCGTAGCCAAATCTTAGAACAAAAAATAAGCACCTTTTAAGTACTTTTTATGCACTAAAAATATTTTTAAACTCCATATACAATAACAAATTGCAAAAAAAAAAAAATACAAAAATAAGACATTACATGATCATGATAAAATAATTAGTTTCTGAGATAAAAAACTCTTTTTCTTGATTATATTAGCCACCACAAAAATATTGAGAGATTTTTTTGGTTTGATTTCAAAGGGTGGAAAATGAAGCCTGAAATGGAGAATATCTTGCAAAATACAGCAGACTTGCACGCGTGAGAGCAAGAATCTCATCGAACCCAATTCAGTATACGCACATGTGGACCTGCAAGTATTTGATCAAACATGTAAAATGATTGACGCTTTCATACGCTATGGACCAACGGAACGCCGAAATGGATTGTGGCTGAATGAATTGTGAAAGCGTTGAAAAGAACATGTGAAAAGCAAAATGTGAAAACCATGCTTTTGCATAATTCGTGGCGAAAATCGACACGGGAAAATCAAAAAGGGAAAAATTAAGCACTTTATCAAAACAACCAATAAAAAAGCACCTTTAAGGGCTTTTCAAAATCGAAAATAAGCTCCTTTAAAGCACTTTTTAAAAGCGCTACAATGACAAAAAGTTATTACTGACGATTCCGCACTTAAGAGCATGCCATACCGAGAGAGAAAATTTCCGTCGCAAATTCTCTTTCTCCTTCATAAATAATTTAAAAGAAAGAAAAAGTAAGTTCAGGATGATCCCCCCATAGAGTAAATCATGATGTTTCAATTGCTGGAAAAAAAAATACTTCAAAATATTAAAATGCAAACAAATTATTAGAAGAGAAATTCTCCTTTGCGCAATCCTAAAGTTATCATCTCATCATTTGTTTTCATTTGTATATTTTGAAATTTTCTTTTCAGTATTTGAAACTTCATCGCTTTGTCTAAACTGACTTTTTCTACACTTTAAATTAGTAATGAAGGGGAAAGATAATTCGCGACTAAAATTTTCTCCGGCGGTATGGCATCCTCTTAAAAATTATATTTTGACCTGAAGTTTTCTTTACATATCAAAACCGGTTTTTCCATGTTATTGGATAGATAAATAGTGTATAGGGGAGAAATATTCTCCAGTGGGTTAAGAGACAGGAAAGTACAGTCACTGGTCAAATTATTAAACGCACTGTAAGATTCTATGTAAAATCTTAATTATCAGGTGTTATTCTACAACTTTAGTGTTTTTACGCGACTGAAACCGGTTTACACTTGTTTATGTTCTTGTATCACTTGGGGTGAACATTGTAATACAATACGTTAAAAATAAATTCAAATGGGAAGTATATGAAAAATCTCCTGAATAAAAACCCATTACATGTACGTTTAATTATAAGAGTATGGCATATAAACTCGTGAAAAACATGTAATTATTAAAACACTACAGAGCATTTAATAATTTGGTCTAATTATTATAATATATTAATATAATATCTGATATAATAAATATGTTATATTTATATAAAATATCGTCTAATATATACAATGGTCGACTTTATATTATTTATCGTCTAATTTCCCTAATTTATACACGAACGTAAACAAGTACAAACCGGTTTCAGTCATGTAAAAACACTAAAGCTGTATAGTATCGCCTGATAATTAAGATTTTACATAGAATCTTACAGTGCGTCGAATAATTTGGGCAGAGACTGTAAACATTTGTCTATCAGTGTCATTTTAAATTAACACGGAAATACATCCGGGTTCGGTTAAAAAAAAAGAAGAAAAGACAAAAACAGATTAAAAAATAAATTTACCACCATGCCCATTCGAGTCTCTAGGCGAGCATTCGTCATCCGTGCTGGCTGGAGGATGTTCGTCTGCCGTATCTTGACCATCCGTATTGCCCGTATCACTAGGTGAGGATGGAGAGTTACCAACCACCCCCATACCTGAGGTGGGAGAGGGTGACCGACAAGGTATAGCTGACACTTCATGGTAATTGCCCAGGTGAAAAGGTCCTCCGAAGTCCGGCATCATTTGAGGGGGCATGGAGCAGGACCTGTCACCCCTCATGGACAGAGCGGGTGGCGGTGGAAACAGGTGACTGGGTAAACCGTAACCGAAGTTCGAATTCATGATGGGTCTAAAACCAGCAGCAGATTCCATTTTGAAAATGTTCGAATATTAACTTTTTACCAAGTATGGATTCTCGCAAATGAATCACGAGATATTTTATATAATCCTTAAATGTATAATTCTCAAACAATTCAATAGCTAAGCTGCTTATAATTAGCTATTAGTGACTATATCTTTCCTACTATTAGTGATAAATATATCAAGTTAATTTTGTAAGCACTTCCGGTTTATTTGTAGTAGAGTTATTATTTATGGTGAAAGAGGCTCTTGACATTCAACACTAACAAATATTACAGATGACGTAAATTAGAAGACGGAAAAACTACATCGAGGATCAAAGTCGCATAATCTTTTCTTAATCATTTTGATAGAGATAATTGCACGATTCTTAATAGAGATAATTGCACGATTAGCAAGACAATATTAATCAGAAGAACGAAAAACAACACACATTGCTAAGTTGGCACGTGCATTTCTAACGGAGAGCATCAAGAGGAAAATCTCTGTTACGCAGGGATGAGGATCGCTCCGGAGATGCTGAAGATGACTCCTCCTCTTGGAATGAATGGCTGGCAGATGAGAGGCCGGTTTTGCGAAAGTAGCATCCGGGGTGGGTTGTGGGCGGGGCTTGTCATGCACTTGGCTTTTAAGCGAAAGCTTTGTCGTGATATTCGTAATTTTATTTTAAATCCCCCTTTGAGCTTTTAAAAGGATTTTAAGCAAAGATGAAAAGATAATTAAAATTTTTATAAGCGAGAGAAGTTGAATGCATCCTGATAATTCAATTACGTCTTGAATATAAATGTGCATAATTCAATATTTAAATCGAGATATAAGAGAAACTTCAGTCGACGATGTTACTTGTGAATGCACGTTTTGTATAAATATATACATATCGTAACTAAAAAAAAAGATTAGAAGTGCTTTCAAAAAGATTTCAGGACAAAGATGATTAAAATTTTATAAGCAAGATAAGTTGAATAAAATCTTAATTCAATGCAAGTGATATATATATATATAATTTAAAAGAAAGAAAAAGTAAG